TTCAGTGTGGTTTTTTTAGTTTTTAATATGGTTTTTAGTTTTTAATTTCAGGGGGTTTTGTGGTTTGTTTTTTTTTTTAGCAAATATTCTTTAATTAGCATAGTACTTTTGAAGTGGAACCTAATAATTTATTGAAATATCTTCCCCTTGTTGCTTATATTGCTTGCTTTTTTAGGGATTTTCTTTTTATTGATATTCTTAATGATGGCTTTACATCTTCAAAAATAGACAAGGTTAGCACTGTTTATTCTAAAACTGACATCTATTTGTGCAAATTGTTTCTAATGTGCTTGTATCTACCTCCTATGTTCAAAATCTGTAACTGCTTTTGACTTTTTTTTCAAACTGGTAAATAGTTTTGCTTTCACTTTGTATCCACATTTTGTGTCTTTCTTGAAACAACTATTACATTTTTTCAAGAGTGTGTATTTATATTTGCACTATATACACTTGTATAATAATTTAAGGTTTTCGGTGTGAATACAGACAATACACGCGTAATAATTTAAAGAATATTGTTTTAAGCTACTTTCTCTAGATCATTATTTGCACTAAGATTCTGTAATACAATCCATTCCAGATTATTGCCTGACTACTCAACCTAAAATTTGAAATTTTTAAAGCTTGCAGGTCACTGTCTGCTGTACAAACTAATAATCTGCCCATGCTTCAGTGTTCCCGCATGCCTTTCATACTTCTATGCATGTTAATGTATGTTAATGTGTATTTATGCAATCTCAGAAAAAAAAGTGTTTCTTTCTACCTCCTTCCTTCAGCAGTGACTTCTGTTCATGGCAGTCCACTGTGGCACTCTTTGGATTGGTGACGTTCTCCCGACATTTTTTGTCAACGACCACACGCTTTCAGGAATCCTATTTTGAATGGAAAGTCCTGTAAAATGTTTCTGCAGGCTTCTTGCCACAGCAGATCATGGACTGTTTCCAGCTGCTCAGGAGCTAAGAGTCTAGAGTAGTACGTTTGAGTAGATAATTGTTCTCTATTCCGTTTATTTTCTTTGAAGATTTTTCTTGCAAGGTGACTCTTAATTCTCATTGTTTTGCTGCTTGTCTGTATCTAATTGAGGAGATTTCAAAGGAGTAAATAATATTAATTTTGAGCTGACTGCCTGTAGCCTTTTGTACCTTTGGAAAACTATCCTTCTCCTTGAATATCCTGTTTGTCTAGCAGTAGTCCTTAACTTTGAGTAACTTGTGTCCAAGGGTAAATAAGCTATGTAGAGGTGGTCATAGCCAAATTCATACTTTGTTCTAGGCTACTATGACATCTTCAAGTTGGATGGAGTGTTTTATGTTTCTTACATAGAGTTGGCATGGGAGGGGAAGACAAAAACCATGTCTATCCTTCTGGCTGAGCATATCTATCTGAGCATTTTGAGCACTAAAGAAAATTCATGTTGAACCCTCAAGGGTGTTTGACTTAATTTTACAGTATGATGTAGTAACACTCAGCAATAGAGATCATGGTTAGGTGGTTGAAAGAAAATAGAAAAAAAATACATGCAAATTCTCCTAAGGGACATCCAACTTTAGGGATTCTCCAGGAAGTGATCTAGACTTTAAGGACCTTAGTCTTCTCTGAGAACCTCAGCTGTTCTGCATTCCTAGAAGGCAGCAACAATGCCTAGAAAAACATGTAGAATGTAGCCAGACACCTGGAACAGCCCTAAAGTGGACAATATATAATTAATGTTTTCAAGCCTTAAACTGAGCCATAAGTACACTGAAATAGTGTAACTAGCCACAGTATACAGGTGCTTTGTAACATGGCTTATAGCATAACCCTCCTAACAGCAGAAAAGCATTTTATATCACAGCTAAGCACAAGTACAGAAATAATATGTAGCTGCAAAGGAAGACCTGTGTTTAATGACACAAATAGAGGCAGAAGAACAGTGGGTCAACAATTCAAGTCATAAGAACGATGCAGGGGGAAAAAAAGGGTACAAAACATGCAGGAAAGATTTCTGGTGGAATGAGAAGAGTTTCTGGTCGTAAAGAAACAAAGGTAAATAACGTCCAGAGCAGATTAGATTTGCTTCCCATGCCCTTTTTGGTGGAGGAGATTATGAGCACTGACACCACCCAAAGAGAGCAAGAAGCAGGGAAGAAGTCTGCCACCGCGATTGCTGCTTCAGAGTCCAAATAGTGCTCTCACCTATTCACCTCATCTTCAGCAACTAAGACCAACCATCGAGATTTAACTACATGGCATCAACTCTGTGGTGTTGTGTACTCAAAGCTAATTTAAGATAAAGGAGATTAGGGCCTAAGTGTTTGAATATGTAGTGATAATGGCTGGTAATGATGAAGAACCTAACCATTGGCAATGTGTATTGTTAATGAATGTCAGTCTAGTTAAGTATTGTTATGAAGTTTGCAACTGGTTTCATTTATCTGGTTTCCAGATCTTCCCATCTCGGCTACCTTGGGCTTATCTGTGTTAAGCAGTAACGGCTTATCAGGACAGGGAAGCATCTCAGTGGATTTTTCCTGTTCAAACCTTGGAGCTGTTTTTGCATAGTTAAGGAATTACAGAAATTGCAGGGGAGAGCTGTGATTGCCTGGTTTGAGGCAAAGAAATTGTGCACAATTTCATCAGAACCTGGTGCCAGTGGGCTGCACACACTTATTTTGTGCACATCTCATTAGGAGTCTCTAATGTACTTACTGTAACTTGGCACTTACCTGAATAATTTATGTTCTCTGAGCTCTGCATGGAGTCATTTGCTTGTGAGCCTTTCTATTCTGTGATCCTAAGTCACAATAGCTTATTATATATTCTTGCTTGTCCTGTTTGCAGGACAAGCTCCAAGTTCACAGATTAGATCAAAATAAAGATGAAAAATCTTCTTAGATATATTAGTTTGAAATGTTGACTATCTTGTGCTCTCTCTCTTGTCCCAGATGCACGTTTCCATATCATCAGTATGGGTGTGATCTCTAACTTGTGTTTCTTTTGGTTTTATTCTGGGAGATGAAAATTTAGTTTCTGCTGTCAGAGTTGTTCTTAGATGTGATTTCACAAACCTGTGGGAAGTACTGTGTGGTAAATTTCTTCTGGGTATTTAAGCTGTTGCTTTTTTTTTTTTTTTTTCTTCTCCCCCCAAGTCTCTCCCTTTGTCAGAACTGACATGCTTCATGCTCATCCCTCATATCTTTTGGTGTCTGAAACCTTTTTTTTTTTCTGAGGAGAGAAAGGCAGAGTACAGATGACAACTTTCACAGAATGAAAACCCGAGTGACTGCCTTCGTCTTTGCAAATTCTGACTGCTCCATCTCCCTTTACTTAAAATAGCTGCAATAAGCTGATTGCCCCTCCTTTTCCATGCCCTTTCCCCTGCACTGCAAAAGGCAGTTATTGCTGTGATAGACACTCTAGAAATCTGGAATTCTCAGGGGAAAAAAAAAAAAAGTGTTTCTTTTCTCTTTTTGTAAACAGACATCAGAGAAATAGTAATTAAAACATGTTACAAAGCTAACATCGATCTTTTTGCAGGGAGGAAATGGCTGTGTGGGTTCAACCTAGTCTTTTTAATGTGTTTTGTAGCTATGACTGATTTCCCTTTTTTCTGCTGAGAAACTGTGTTTGAGTAACATGTGAAAACTGTGTGAGAAGTTTTAAAAATAATTGATTCAAATTTTGTGTTTACCTTCAGCTGTGGGAGAAAAAGTCCCAGAAAATCCAGTCTGCTCAAATTGGATGCACAACATAGCATTACCTGTGTGATCAAAAAATGTTAGCTGTCATGAGTGAAGGTGCCAAAACCTACAATAATGACACAAGAGAATAAGTGAAAAAGTATTTGGCAATATTTAGAGTTCTGATAAAACTGCAGTAAAAAGAATATTTAATTTTTTTTTAAAAAAAAAAGAAAGATAGGCGACAAATACAGTTGTTGGCTTCTTCAGGTTTGCATAGAACTGATGGCAGGGATTCTGGTTTTTGAGCCTGTTGTTGCACTGTAATTTATATGGAGCTGTACTTCAAAACCCAATCTTTGTACTGAAATCTTGGTGGGGAAAATCTTTACCCACGAGGGAAATGAGCAATCTTGGTGTAACTGGCTATAACCTTGGGCTGAGCTGGCAGTGGTGCCCTAGGCACCAGCATCTGCAATTGGATCTGTCTTTGCTTCTGAGTGAGTCGTTGGGTTTTTAGGAGACCTCAGTGTATATATGGTATTTGCATGGCCCAGTTACCTTAAATTAAGCATTTCAGTTTTCAGTTGTGAAACTTCAGAAGTAGCTTGTTTCTATAGCGCGGGGTTGGCTTGGGAGTGGTACGTCACAAGGATAACCTTGTGAGACTGTGGTCAGAGACCTTAGTGTAACAATGTTAGACACCTTAACAGAGGTTTTTTGTAAAATGTGTTTTAAACACTGCTATCAGTAATTAAGGACTCGTATACACAGGAGTATAACTTAATATTTGGTTTTAAGCACATCTTTCTGTGCTAACATGATTAAATGTTTACTTGTCTTCATATATGCCTGTAGATATAGACACACATATAGTATAGGTTTGTGTGTATATATATATGTATATAAATGAGTGTGTGTGATTATGTAATGGTTGAATTAGGATGTAGGATGAGTTACAGGTATGTGTAAGCAAATATAAAAGTGATGTTTGGGCCAGATTTTGTCAAAACTGAACCAGAGCTGGATGTTTAGGCACATATTTGCCCACAGTAAATGTACTGAATAAATGTTGAGGTGTTTTTTTTTTTTTTCCTTTCTTTTTTTTCAGTAGTACACCAACCTATCTTTATCTCAAAGGAAGAAAAAAACAACCTACAGAACATTTAGTGCATGTTTTCAGTTCATCTTTTCTGTAGTTATTTAAAGTATGTTAGTCAATTTTGTCTTCTTATTTTTTTTCTAGATGGTGCAAAAGAATTGCAGTTGCCCAATCAAGATGAGCAGAATGGCTTCCTTCAGCAAGAAAATAGAACATTTATTTTTTAGGATTATGTCTACAACATGAAGCATTTAACAGTAGCTGTCTTTGAGAACATTCATCTATGACCTGAAATGTCCTGATCCTGGGGAAAAAATGAGATTCCATTAACTAAGTCTATAATTTTTTAAATGCATTTTTATGACTAATCGTATTTGCTTATGCACAACACGGATACAGAATTCGTAAACCAGAGATTATTTTAACACGTACTCCCATTTGCGTTTGTGCGTTCAGTCTACAAGATACATCATTTAAATCAAATTTTAAATAATCTTTTAAATTATCTGTATTTTTTGCTAAATGAAGACTTGGCAAGAAAAATTTCTCGTCCATGGACACAAGTGAAGCAGGTTCCCCCAGAATGGATGGTACTTTTGTGTTGGATAAAATCAATAATTTAAAAGTAGAGCAAGAGGAAGACGGCATTAACTGTACTCTGGAAGGAATGGATATAAAGACAGAAGCAGATGATTTCAAACATGCGGACAGCAGTGACGAGCAGGAAGACAAAGAAAAGAACTTCATTTCCAACAACCCTGGCAAATACTTATCTACAGAAAATGAAGATGATTATGGATCTCTTTTTACTCAGTATAGTAGTACGCTCTATGATGTAGCAATGGAAGCTGTGACACAAAGCCTTCTTTCTAGCAGAAACATAAGCTCCAGAAAAAAGTCGCCTGCTTGGAACCATTTTTTTATATCTCCTAGAGATAGTACTAAAGCAATATGTATGTACTGTATGAAAGAATTCAGCAGGGGTAAAAATGAAAAGGACCTGAGTACCAGCTGCCTCATGAGGCATGTGAGGAGAGCCCATCCCACTGTACTCATTCAAGAAAACGGAAGCATGCCAGGTATATCCTCCTTTTCCTCACCTACATTGTTACTGCCACCTCAGCCTGCAGATGTTGGAGATCTGAGTTCTATGTTATCCCCTATAAAGCTAGTGAAGAAAATGGCTTCTAAAATACCATCTCCAGATCGAATACTTGAGGAATCTGTTTCTATTGTTTCTTCTGAAGAAATACCAGATCTCTCGGTTTCTGAAAAGTGCAGCAAAGAAGAAGTCATGGTTGGGTCATCTCCACAGCAACCCAACAACCAGTATGATGACACTGTGGAGAATGTAGCAGAAAAAACTGTTGTAATTCCAAAGAGCACATCAGGTTCCAGAAGGAGATCTGCTGTCTGGAAACACTTTTATCTGTCGCCTTTAGATAATTCTAAAGCTGTTTGCATCCACTGCATGAATGAGTTCAGTAGGGGAAAAAATGGAAAAGACCTGGGAACGAGTTGTTTGATAAGACACATGTGGAGAGCCCATCGTTCCATTGTCCTGCAAGAGAACGGGGGTGGTACCAGCATACCACCTCTCTACACTGCACCTCCAACTCTGTTGCCTTCTTTACTACCCTCAGATAGTGATCTGAATTCCATGTCATCCTCTCCTGGAAAACTAATGAAAGAGTCAACTTCTGTTTCTTCTTCTCCAGAGAGAATCTCTGAGGAGATCCATACCAATCTCTCTTCTGGAGATGCTCTAGTGGAAGACTCAATGTTATCATCTTCTGATGATATAGGTGAAGTCTCCTTTGTTTCATCTCCCGAGAAACAGTGTGAGGGATTAGGCCCGCTAATATTTGAACCTACTGCTGTATTTCAGCAAAATAAAAGGATTATGAAAAGACTTAAATCGGAAGTTTGGCACCACTTCTCACTGTCACCTGCAGACAGTCTAAAAGCAGTATGTAGATACTGCAGTTGTATGATAAGTCGCGGTAAGAAGGGAGACGTGGGCACAAGCTGCTTGATGAGGCATCTATATAGACGCCACCCCGATGTAATTGGAAACCAAAAGAGCTTTCTTGATGTGAGTTTGGCAAATTCTCCTTATGCCACTTTGGCTTCTGCGGAATGTTCATCCTCAAAGTTGACTGACTTGCCTACAATGGTTACACACGATAATCAAATTATATTTCCTGTTAATAGTAAGAAGACCTCAAAGCTGTGGAATCACTTTTCAATTTGTTCTGCAGATTCAACTAAAGTGATATGTATGCACTGTGGACGTACAATAAGTAGGGGGAAAAAGCCAACGAATCTAGGCACGAGTTGCCTTCTAAGACATTTGCAGCGATTTCATAACAACGTGTTGAAAACTGATGTCTCGGAGACAGTGTTATCCTCATCTACGGATAATCGCATGCCACTGAGCACAGAATTACTAGGATCTTCAAATTTTGATGAAACCAATGACAAGTTTTGTGACTCTCACCCAGTTGCCAAAAAAATCACAAGTCTTGTAGCCGAAATGATTGCACTTGACCTTCAGCCATATTCTTTTGTAGACAACGTTGGCTTTAACAGGCTGCTTGAATATTTGCAACCTCAGTATTCTCTACCTTCTCCGTCTTACTTTTCTAGGACAGCAATTCCAGATATGTATGATAATGTAAAACAGATAATTACTTCACATCTTAAAGAAGCTGAAAGTGGAGTGATCCATTTTACATCCGGAATATGGATGAGCAACCAAACACGAGAATATCTAACTCTGACAGCTCATTGGGTAACGTTCGAGTCTTCATTTCGACCCCAGTGTGAGGATTATCATTGTTCAGCACTGTTAAATGTGTCACAGATTGATTGTGACTACAATGGAATCAGCATCCAAAAGCAGTTAGAGTACTGGTGGGAAACGTGGATTACTTCCATTGGCCTTCAGATTGGGATTACTGTTACTGATAATCAAAGTATAGAGAAAACCTTAAATGAAGGTGACCATTCAAGTGTACAATGTTTTAGTCACACTGTCAATGTCATTGTAAACGAGGCTATTAAAAGCCAGAGGATGGTTCAGAATTTGCTTAGTATCGCCAGAAAGATCTGTGAACGCGTCCATCGGTCAGCAAAAGCAAAAGAGAAGTTAGCCGAGTTGCAAAAAGAGTATAAGTTGCCTCAGCACCAGCTAATACAAGATGTTCCGTCAAAGTGGAACACGTCATTTCACATGCTTGAACGTCTGATCGAACAGAAAAGAGCCATCGATGAAATGTCAATAGAGTGCAGCTTCCGGGAGCTGATAAGCTGCGATCAGTGGGAAGTCATGCAGTCAGTGTGTCATGCTCTCAAACCTTTCGAAGCTGCAAGTAGAGAGATGAGTACGCACATGTCTACTCTAAGCCAAGTGATTCCAATGATCCACATACTTAACAGGAAAATAGAAATGCTCTTTGAGGAAACAATGGGCATAGATACTATGCTGAAATCTTTGAAAGAAGCTATGGTGAGTAGGTTGTCCTCCACGCTTCATGATCCAAGGTACATTTTTGCTACGCTCCTGGATCCCCGGTATAAAACATCCTTATTTACAGAAGAGGAGGCTGAACAATATAAACAAGACTTAATCAGGGAGCTGGAAATAATGAGTTCTACCTCAGATGATGATAAACCTGTTTCCAATGGATGTGATATAGGTTCACCATCTACAAATTCCTATGGGGAAGATAATCTTTGGTCACTCATGGGTGACATGAAGAAAACAAAAGACCTGAAAGAGAGAGCAAAGTTACCAGAGGAAATGGTGCTTTCTTACTTGGAGGAAGAAGTGCTTGAGCATAACTGTGATCCTCTAACTTACTGGAACTTTAAGAAGTCATCTTGGCCAGTACTGTCAAAACTGGCTGTCAGGTTCTTGGGTTGTCCACCAAGCATTGTTCCTTCAGAGAGGTTGTTCAGTACATCCAATGAGAGCAACAACTTTAGTCAGTCAAGGTTACTGATTGAACACTTTGAAAAGCTTATCTTTTTGAAAGTGAATCTTCCTTTAATATACTTCCAGTATTGAAACTAATGAACAAACTGCTAGACTAAATCTGTTGTTGCTCACTGGATATTAACTATCTATAACTCGTATTTTTAAATTGCTCCAAGAGGGGCCATGTATGACATCTAATCAGTGACTATAATTCCAAATTTTAGTTTCATTTTTTCAGCTTTCAATATGTCTACATGTGCCTTATTCATAGTACTTCAGGCCAGATATTGTATATATGTTTTTTAAAAGTTCACACTAGAGATAGCCTGTCTTGTCAAATTATACAAAATTATGTAGGTTTTAATCCATAATTGTAAATGACCTTTAAAAAAGCTCAGTCCTTTGTTTTAATAGAATGGCAAAAAAAAAAAAGAGATGTAAACAGTTCTATTCTGTAGTTTTTTATTCAATTATTATGTAAAAACCATAAACCAGGTACTGTATTTTAGTTGAACATTGCTTTAATTGCAACAAAACAGGTTTTGTAGTTGTCAAAAGAAAGCTGTACATGAAAGATGAAAGATGGGGTTCAAGCCGTCTTTTTATCATGTGGTGTTTTTAACTGCAAGCCCTAAAGTACTTAAAGGATTAAGAAGAGTTATTGAGGAAGATGTGTTTACAGGAGACTGTTGACTTAGTATCTGAAAATAAATCTTAGATTTGAGATGATAAGGAATGTCAGTTATACAGTAGTAGAACTTCCCATTCTGGGTTCTCCTGTTCAGGTTTTACATTTTAACTGAACTACAGAAATATTCTGGGTATTTATAAAAGCTCTTCGGAAGTCTTATCAAAGTCTGTGAATTAATGCTTGTTATTTAATGCCGTGTACAAAAAAAAAAAAAAAAAAAGGCAAGAAACTTACCCTGAAGACTCTAATGTCATTCTAAAGCCTTTTCTAATCTTTAGTGCATCGAAACTATGAGGTTCCCTATTGTAAAAAAAATGAGCCCTTACTCCTAATGTAATTTCAGTTGTGTAGAACAGCCTGTCTTAAAGCTCCTAGTACAGAAATAACTGATCTTCAGATTTTCAGTAATAGCCTTATGGATATGGTGCACTGCTTAGAATTTTATGTAGTAAAGTTGATTCTTAACTGTTGGTGTCCATCAGGCAAATGGGATATAGAGCCCTCAAATCTTCAAGTAAGATGGAAAAAAAAAATAGCCAGCATTTTAATTTGAATGGAACATTCTCCATGGTTTTTTTAACTCTGAAAAGATTAATCTTCTCATTTGAGTTTTCATTGAATACTTTTTTGGGAAACAAGTCGTCATTTGCCTATGACCTTTTAGAAACGTTGTAGCTTTGTTAAAATACTGTACCTATGCCTAATCTAATTTTGCATTTACTATGTTTTAGTGTATTTATAAATGGTGAACTCAGTTTCTGAAATTAAACATTTTATTTGCAATTTTCTAGTGGTAGTCAACACTGCTTTTTATTTTCAGATGAATTTAAGACAACTGTTGAATAAAAATTGATGCAATTTTAATCATAAATATACCACAGGACATGGTATGTGGAAAGATGGGTTTTCCGTTTAGCTCTTTGGACTTAAGCGTGGACTCTGGTTCTTTTCATTTCACTCAAGCTATTCAACCTCAGGAAACTTTGTTGCATTCTTTCCCAGGTGGCTTTGGTTTCCACGTGGCGTTTCTGTAAACAGTTTATGGGTTGCAGTATTTCAGTTGTTATTCTCTCAGTTATGTTTACACCTGTACTATTTAAGTAAATTATTTTATAGTGTACTTGGGAAAAACTAATTCTGCGTTTTGTCTCCAGTGCTGTAGAAGGTATCTTAGTACTGTCAACAGTCCACATTTCTTTATTGTTGTAGGGTTAAATGATAACAGCACGTGTGGTGGGGTTTTTTTTGTTTTTCCCTGTAGTAATAAAACAATTTGTTCTAGTTTATATATAGTTGGAACTAGGTGAGTTTGAAGCAGCTTATTGGGAAACTTGTTTAAATGGTTAGTGGTTAATTATTATCTCAATTTTTTCCCTACCTTTTAACTGTGAATATAACCTTGACCTTTGTAAAGGAGATGTTTGATCTCTACAAACCGGTAGAGAGGGAAGTAAAGGAAGAAGAAATTGTTTTTGAACCAGCGATACAATTTTCACTCAAGGCTGCAATTGAAATTTGGTCCTTGGCTTAAAGCATTGTGGTGGCAGTGAATGAGCTTACCTGAAAAATCCCAGTTCTCTGGAAACAAGCATCTTGGCTCCTCTGAAGGCGGTCTGTGCTGTAGCTCCAGTGTAAGTCATGTGGAAAGCTGAAGTAATGGCACTTTGAGCCCCCAATTTGCATCTTATTCATATGGATACTTAATTGTGTAGTCATGAGTTTTGTCAAAACTTGGCCCAAGAGCATGAGAACTAGTCGGTATTTTTAGAAGTAAAATTTTACCAGTTAAATTTAGTCTACTTCATTTGTACCTGGAATTTCCTCCTTTTTTTGTTGTTGTTGTTGAAGGGCTTAGTTCTTAAGACTGCACTGTTTCAGTGTCAGTCTTATGTTAGAAATTTTTTTTTTCAAGCAGGACCAAAAGGACTCAAAATTGAAATTCTTAAAAACTTAAATAAAAATAGGAGAGAAAAAATAGCATAATGTTGCTATTCAAAAAGAAGGGCTGAGAACTTTCATTGAAGTACAGAGGTAAGTTATTGAGTGAGTTCGTTTTGTGTTGAGTTTACTTTATTATTTTCTTAGTGATTGCTAAAGCTTGCTTTTTTCAACCCTTCTTGTATCTGTAATGTATAGGAAACTCGCGTTTTTACATTACCCTCTCTCAGACAAATAAAGCACAAGCTGTTAACAGTGGGAATTTTCATCGAGCTGAGGTTGCAGCAGCAGACAGCTCCCTAATGCATAATGATTTGGTGAGCCTGCAACAGTAATACTTATTTTATTTAAACAGTTAATTTCAGTACATGAGCAACGCTAGAAATAAACTTACGAAGCAGACTTTCTTTCCCCCCCCCCAGCATAAAAAGTGTAGATGGTACTAAAGATCATACTTTGCATCATTGTAAGAATCTCACAGCTTTTGCTTCTTTTAAAAGTAGGTGTAAAAACTGGTTACGCACGGTAGCAGGCAATATTTTGTAGTACTAAAGGTATGAAGGGACAGAAGTAGAGGTCTCCGACAGCCTTTTCTAAGCACTCAAGTCTTGTGACAGGTGTGTAATGGAAAGTATCTATTCAGATCTCTGTTAAGCACCAGAAACCTGTGATCATGCTCCCCCCATGTTGCCCCTTCCCATTTGGCCTCTTTTTCTACCCATCAAGCGAAAGTGAAGGAAACTTGTTTGACTGTGGAATTTGGCCAGCGAGCATTTACTAGTTAATACTCATTGACAGCTCCTCCTTGTCCCCCAGGAGTAGCTTTTGATTGTACACAGAACCAAAGTCTCAGTCTAAAGCAGTTTAAATTCCAGCATAAGGATGTGATTGATAAGATGTGGATATTGATGACAAGCTCGAAACAGATTGTTGAGAAGTCTGCCCCTTGAAGTAGCGTTAGCACTATACACAGGTGACCATATCAAATTTGCATTTAGGTGTCTCGAAACACTGGGGAAAAAACATATAATTAGCAAATAGCACTTTCTAATTACATATTATTTACATTTTATAAAGTAGGCATTTTAGTCTTCCACAAATATTTTAATCCTTTGCTTTATTTTTAGTGACAAGAGTGATTCTTTATCTTCTTGGTTTCTTAGCAAAACTGAAAGTGCTTAATTTGGTAAATGAGCAGGCTAACCAGAAATAGTGACCACAGTGACATCCCCAACTCAAGTATCAGCTTGGGTTCAGAGGGCTAGATCAATGCCTAAGCAGTCCCTGTGTTTTGTGCATTATGGTGTGGCTTCAGTTTTTTTTTTTTTTGATCACCCCCCTCACCCTTTATGAACCAATTCCGTATTCAATTTGATTTAAATTGTCAGTTTTGAAGGAAAAGACAGACTCCATTTCAGACAGCATTTTAACCTTACACTTCGTGTAACTGGACACAAATCAAACCTTGGTACAGGACCAAGGGCAGTTGCAGCTGAAATAACGCAGAACTGGTGAAAGCTGCAGAATTTCAGATGAGATGCTGGCTGTCCTTGCAAAAGGTCTGAAATGAACAACCCAAAGTAGTTGTAGTTGCTCATGTCTATCTAAAGAGCTGATCTCAAATACATAGTTGCATACAAAATGGATGAATTATGTTTAGGACTCATATATATTTAAATTAAAAAAAAAAAAAAGAAGAAAACCTTCATGGAGGTATTCTTTGTCATTTAACTTCAGAATTTCCTTTGTAAACACCCTTTTAATCTTCTGTGTGGTGTTAAAGGAGATAGCGATACGGTTTAAGACAGGACTAATGTAAGCAGCTAGCTGAAAGGCTGTGGCTAAACAGCCTTGCTTACATCAGTGATAAACCCAGCTTGTGGTTTTGTTCTTTTCTCGCAAATAGAAAGTGAAGTCATTTGTACAAGAAAAGAGTCTCTGAATATTAAGAAGGGAGAGACCGGGGGTGGGTGGAAAGGGGAATGTTTAAGAATAAGCATAGGTGATAAAGCAAGGAAAGCAACTCTAGGCTTCTGTATCGTTTCAGTTACATATGAAATGGATTTGGGGGCAAGGGAAATGCACACTCTTGCACTGAAACAGACCGAGCAAGCAAGCGCTTAAATCCTGTGTCACCTTTCAAACTCCTTAGCATTATGGAAAGAACTGGAAATGTGCAGGAAGATAGGAATGGACCTAAAACAGTTATAACTGCAGTGGGAGAGGTGGCACAGCCTCAGTGTTGTTTGCCCGAATGTGTCTCCCCAAGGGGATGTGTGTGACAGCCAGGGAGTGAGCAAAAGGGATCAGTGATCAGTGTTTCAACACGTGTTGCACTGTTACCTCGCGCTGAGGTGGTGTTCTCATGGCTGCAATGGAACAGGCAGCAAAGTGAAGAATCTGAGACACGTTCTGGCTTTTCTTGGTGTTAACAGATAAATACATTTTATGTCGGATCCACCACAACCATTCTACAGGTCTCCTCACCCTAAACTTGCTCGTGAGAGAGAAGACCCATAGGAAATACTTAGGGCAGCTCTAAGGTAAATAGTCTGATTTTTTTATTTTTTTTTTTTTTCTTCTCTCTCCCAGCCCTGAATGCTCTGTTACTTCAAGACTTTGTGAACTAGAAGTTGCTCCTTGATCTTTGTTTTTTTTCAGTTCTTGACAGGAAAGTGACCTGTTTAACCCTCTTGTAAAGTAGCTTTTACTTTCAGCATCCAAAAATGACCTCTGTCAGCAAGTTCCAAGACTTTTTTTCATGAGATTACTTTATTCAGTTTTACAACAC